CGAGAGGAATAATTGCATTCGTCATCATTGCATGTAATGTAAAAGTTGATAATAATTATCCGGATACACCTACATCAAAGATAATTAGAAAAAAAAAGATACACATTCAATTAATAGCTCACTTTGAATGTTCCATCAGCGAACCAATGTTTGTTTTGCTTTAGAATGGATAAATTATTTTTCGTTGTAAAGATAATTAAATGCTCGTCCTCGTGCAAGATGAAATCTTCATCACGATATGTCTTTCTTAATTTTTCTGGTAAATGATCATTGGCATCGACTGTTTCAGCAGTACGTTGTCGTCGAACTGTGAGCGTAAGTGCGTCACTTCTTGGAAGTTGGCCAGCGGCACTTAGAGGATATGTTCGTAAGGCCGAATGAAGAATTGAGCTGGATGATTCATCTGTCGTCACAGCACGGGCTTTAGTTTCGTTCTTTAAATGGATAGCGGGAACACGATCAGGTTGTGAAGCATGACCATGTGATGTTGGTTGAGAGAGAAATGCGTCCATAGATAAATTGGTATGGCAACGTCCTTAATTGAATTACATGTCTTCTGAGAGTATCCCCGGAAACTTAATTATTTCCTAGGGGTAAGAGGTAGATAGATATATAGGTATAGAGGCAGATAGATATATAGGTATAGAGGCAGATAGATATATAGGTATAGAGGCAGATAGATATATAGGTATAGGAGATATAGGAGAGATAGAAGGGATAGGAGGTATAGAAGGTATAAGAGATATAGGAGCTATAGGAGGTATAGGAGATATAGGAGATATAGGACGTATAGGAGGCATAGAGGTATAGGAGGTATAGGNCAACAAAAACAATTTTTCGCATCTGAGTGTTGCGATTCAATAAGAAGGCATAGGTCTAGACTCACTATGAATATTGATAAGCACATTAGAATACTCCACTGATATACTCATGCATTCTATAAAGCATTCGAGTAAAATATAAGAGTCGAGTGCTGTATGCGCTATATGCATTTCAATAGAAGTAGCAGTCTTTCGTGCCTCTTAGGAATTTAATCACCTAACGAGAAGTCACTATTCAATATAAAACTAGAAAGTGAATCTGTCCGAAAGAGCGCTTCAAGTCGTTATGCCAATAGAACCTTTTTTTCATATTAGTACAAACATTTATTTATTGAAGAACAAAGTAACAAAGTGTACCTGCAATCGATATTTTATGATAGCATCACCAACATAGCACATCCCTTAATTCGCTCAAAGGTTCACAACAGTGGTAGAAGAAGTACTTTCAAATAATGACAATAACTAGGTATAGTATGATCTTCATAACGCGCAAAGGATAAGTACCACACTATGCAGGCAGTATGTGCACAAAAGCCTATGCTTTTATTTCCTGATTTGCACTGGCAATAAGCCGCTTGAATTATATCAACCGGATCATTTTTATCTCTGTCGTTATCTGATTTAATTTTGATCCAACAGTAGTATTGTTCACTTGAACGATGCCGACTATGAATACGACATCTGATAATATTTGGATAATCAGGATACATCTGAAGCGTAAAATCTCCATCCGATCCGAAATTTTGTTCCATATAAGTGCGACTCTGTTTCAATTGATAAGAACCGAAAAAAAGATTGAGAAGGTCGCTCTCCTGCAAACGTGGAAAATCAATGAAGGCTGCATCGACATTCATCCAATGAGCACGAGCACTCAGGTTACCATACTTGACAAGATCCGCAAGTTCGTTCTTCATGTTCAACAGCTCAAGCATAGATTCTGCTAGCAACTTGTGTTGGTCTGTATTAACTGCTTCAAAGACAGGTTTACGAAAACAATTAATCGCTGCCGTGACGATGCATACATAAGATGCGATATTTGGCAAGAGTGAATTATGGGTACACTCAGATAGGAGAGTCCATTTTTTTACCTGATCATGATATGCCTCAACTGTCCACCGACTTTTGGTTACCAACCGAGTGGCATTAGCATCCGTCGTTGATAACTGTTTGATGGGCAGGGAGGAATGCAGGCATTCGAACTTCGAACCCTGCTTCCTTAAGCGATCCGATACAATCGCGAAATCCCCTATCTACGATCATGGTGTCCCCATTCTCTGTCCAGAGTTGTAAAGAATCATTGAGTTGAAGAATACTTTCAGTGATCGATGCATCGTTTTCAGCTCCTGAGAAAGGACCGATCGTATCAACTACATATCCATTCGGGAATACAATTGCTAACATTTTTACAACATGCCGCTTCTTGTGCCCTGAGTATGTTTTTCGTTGAAAAATATGGTCCTGACTCTTTTGAATAAAATAATATGTTCCATCAAGAATGAGAGCAACATTATCTCCGAAGAAAGTTTTCGAGTAGACCGTCTGATGAGCTCAGGCTTGGGCACGAGTCAAATGTTTTGCGTCAAGAAAGCGTGGCACGAAATGAGTCAGAAGGGCATCTTGAACCGAAGCGCATGCTTCCGACACTCGTTTTCCCTGATCGCCTGGCGGAGATTTGTAATTTATTATCATACCTAACTGATCGTAGGTCAGATTAGTACGCAGCTTCATCCAAAACATAATAATTGCGAGCTCGGACGAACGATTTTTGCTGGGTCTCATAACTCCTTTAATGCATTCATGCATCTTTGAAAGTTCATCCCTTTGCCAACCGGTCCACATTTTGACTTCATTATTTTTTATGTGAGGACCTTCAAAATCCAGATGTGGACGATTTCTTGCCTGTTAAGACATACAAAAACAGTCCAATATTTATTAGCTCTCACTATTTTCTGTTAATGATAGGGACCAACGATAATTCCTTAGAGAATGAATAACGATGTCATCAAGATTTTTTTGCTTGCACATATGCTATCACAGGAGCTATCTAATGTCTTAGGCATACAAATTGGATACCTGTACAGTAGACTAAGGGGAGTGGATGTTTTATTCTGAACTTACCATGCACAGCTGAGAAATCAGGTCATTAATCAATTCCTTCACAGATACAACGTTAAGTGATAGTGGCTGTAGCTGACTGAGATCCACGACAACATCAGGATATATTCAATCTCGAAGTACATGCCTACCGCAAACACGAGTGCCTGGTGAGACATAAAGATCGTGGTCAACTGGCAGATCAACACGAGCAGCATTGCGCAATTGAACAGCTTCCGTCGTCAACAACACTGCAGATACAACATCGAACTTGACAGTCAGGCAGTGATAAATATTCATCAAACATCATGCTTATCTCCTCATCCTCTGATTTGAAACCTTCCGACGAATTGATTTCTATTTTGTTCTCTCGTCGAAGAGATAGCTCGCAGGCAGAGCATAAAGAGAGATCTTCACCACAATCATTGGATAGGTTCAGTTTCTCTCGCATCCAAGCATAAGAGTCAGTGCTGATCAAGCGGCAACTCGCTTTGTGCTTCCATCGTCGACAACAACAGCAACGCACATCTGGCATTTCTGTAAGATTATTTTCTTTATTTCTTAACGTCAGTAACCAATCACGCACAATTGAATAGAATAAAATGAAATGAAATAGAATGGAATGAATGAATGAATAAGAACACGAGTGGATATATATATATACTAGAGCAGTAGAGAGTGAGAACCTATTCGAAGGTTCTGGAACGACAACATATTGAAAGAGAAAAAAAGAGAGAGATCATGACGTCATGTACAGTGGCAAGAAGGGAAGAAAGAAAAGATATGTGTAAGATGATGAGCTGTACAATATATATAGAAACTAAAAAGAAAGAAATGCACTTGAACACACCAGAACGAAACAGAAGAAAATGCGTGCATATCAACAGAACGCAAGAGAAGAAAGATATATATATAGATATATATATATCTGGTGTGCTCACGATGATGCCAGAAACATGAAAGAAAAGGGAGGACTTTTATGACCCGGCAAAGAGGAAAGATCGTTATTATTTCGAATGAGTTTTTATGTGTGGGTGCTTCAGATAACTATCTCGATTATCTTCAACCTAGTACTACTTTGTATAAATACTAACCAAATGCTTATGCTAGAGCATACTAGAATTTATTTCATCCATATTAATCGAACGCGAGAAGAATTGGGAAAGAAGGTAGGTATACGATACATAGATCACACTAGAACGTTTTTAACGATCCACAATGTGCACATCATCCGTATATAATTGCAAAACAGAAGAAGCGTGGTAGCATAAGAAAATAGATGCAAGTAAGTGAATCAAATACATGCGCAGAGCAGTGGAGTATTCTAATGTGCTTATCAATATTCATAGTGAGTCTAGACCTATGCCTTCTTATTGAATCGCAACACTCAGATGCGAAAAATTGTTTTTGTTGTTCACAAAAATGCATAGGTATTGGCGTTCTTTACTCACTAAAGTAGGCATATCTCGGTTCGGAGAGAATGAATTCTGTTCCAATTTTCAGCGCTTATAGCCCTGACTACAACACTATTTTTCTGCAAGTTTGGTCTTGCAACAAGGCTTCCTTGTTGAGATTCGAATGTATCACTAAAAAGTAGGATTTGAAATTTTGTCGAAAAATTTTAAACTTTCAAAGTTTTTGCATAGTTTTAAAAGCAGTTCAAAACTTCAAAACTAGCACAACTTGTAGAACATTTGATCTTCTGTCGGGCTATTTATAAACCATTTTGTTATATTTTGAAATAAACGACATCAGCTATCACCTTTGAATCGTATTCTGCTGTTTTCTGAAATGTCATGTTCTCGCTATAACTCAGCTGTATCAAAGCTTTTTGAGCTGAAACTTTTACCATCGATGTATCTCAGTGACCCCTATTAGCAGCCCAAATTTCATCGAATTTGGAGAACTTTTTGAAAACCGGGGGTTTCCTTTGACATAAATTAATGTATTATGTGATGATAAATGTGCTAATTCTACTAATACGACGAAAAATGGTAATTGTTGAGGTATTGTTTGAATCTGAATTAATGCTAGTTGCTTGTTTGATTTTTCACCTTCAGTATCAAATGTAAATTCATTACAATTTCATACATGATAAATTAATTTTTGCATTGTTTCAATTGTTGTATATTTATTTGCATATATAATTTCATAAAATGATGTTGGTATATTAAATGCTGGACATTGTTGTTGATATTGATAATTTTTCTTGGTCTTTGTTGCAGTACATATCCAATTCGATTTTTGATGGTCATCGAGATGAGCTGGAGGATTTTTAATATCACGTAAATGATATGGAACAAATTTATGTGACATTATAATGACTAAATAAAACAAAACTAAACAAGTTGATATAAAATAAGTGAAAAAAAAAATAACATAGATAAGGTAAACAAATGGTTGAGATAAGCTACATATACACGCTACATACAAAATTGTATGTAACTTATCCTTAGTGGTTTGGACCAATAGAGTGATGGTCCATTTTTTACTCTCGTTTATCCAACAATTGTTTGACGTGATCTGTATGAGTGTTGTATATGAATGAAATGATTTTGTGAGAAACCTACTGCAAGTATTTTTTTAAAGAACTATCTAATATTATTAAGACTAATGCTAATCTTCAACTCACATAAAATATTATTTCCAGTTGAATTGATAAAAAATCAAGGTCTGAATAGAGATAAAAATTAATTCAGAACTGAGTCAAAGTTTCATTCTAAATTGAAAATATGTTAAAATATATATGCAAATTCATTTGTTATGATCTTATAAAAATGAAATTCTGATTTATCTGGAAGAGAAACTAACACTTTTCCCTAGAAAAGTAAACAGATCATTATTGAACTACATATCATCATGAAATCATGTCAATCGCTTTCAAATTTTCAATCCCATGAAGACAATGAAAATAAAATCGTTAAAAAGAGGTATGAAAACTAAACAAAGAGTATAATTTATTTTAGAGGATTATAGTTAAGTTTGCGGCAAAAAATTTTACAAATTGACTTCACAGAAAGAACCTTTCGTTCTTTTTATTCTTCTCTGAGCGATCTATTTTTTTATCGCTTTTATTCTTTCGTCTCCTTTTTTTGCTTCATAAGAATCTTTTCAAATTTGAAAAGATTTTTATGAATCAGAATAAAGAAGACGAAAGAACAAAAACGATGAAAAAAAAAGATTTATTTCTTGTTCAACTATAACCAAGTTAGCCTGGCACTATTTTATTGATCATGTATTTGCATGAAAATATGTCACATAAAGTGAAATAGATATTTTTTATTCTCCATATTTAATCTTTTTTTTAATGACCTGATGTGTCACATCGAGATATCAAAAGAATTGAAAATTCTTTTCTCTTACATTTATTTTCTGTTCTTTACGTGTACATATACTTGAATCGAACGCCCTCTTTTCTATGGCAGAGGCCTAGTGTCAGACATGTACCAAACCCGAACCCAACTTCGAGTTTCGATATCGAGTTTTTCAAGATTGAGTTCGATTTGAACTCGAACAATGGTGCTCGGGTTCGATCGAGTTCGAACTTTCCATGCTCGGGTTCGATCGAGTTCGAACTTTCCATGCTCGGGTTCGATCGAGTTCGATCGGGTTCGATCCTTAACGTTCGAGTTCGAGTTCAATCGAACTTCAAACTCGAGTCTAAACTTCGAGTCGAGTTTCATTTTATCAAACTCGAACGGTTTGGGTTTGGGCCATGTCTACTATGATTCTTCAGCTTCTTAATGAATTCTACAGCTACTCAATGATTTCGTATAGCTACTTAATGAATTCTACAACTGCTTAATGATTTCCTATAGCTACGTAATGAATTGTACAGGCACGGTTGAAATGAAAAAAATGGAATATTTATTATTTGAATCTTCATTTTGTTGATGAAGAAAAATTCAAGTATTCAAAATTTGAATCTCTATTGGGTTGATAAAAATATTGGAATATTCATAATATCTTTTTTGTGTATTGTACTTATACATGAGATAACGATAAATAAATTATATACAAAAAAAAGAAAATACAAAAAAAAAGAAAAAAATAATCTAAAGAGTAATGTTGGCTGCGATATTTTTTAAGTATTGATCCAGTTCAGATGAGTCAAATGCGTTGACCAACCGAGTAATTCGTTCGTCTAATCTTCGATAACATGCTTTCTTCGTCTTGATATCGTGGCCTTGGAGAATTTTCGCGATGTCCACTTCGAATTTTGATTGTTCACGACGAATTTTTTCTGCCAGTTTAACGATGTTTGGATGATTGATTGAGACGCGATTGGCAAATGCATTGTGCCATCCTTCAACCGAATTATTGGATCGAGGTATACCAGCGATTACACGATCATGAATATTCCATAATTTGTTATCAAATTGAGGTTTCTTCCGACCAGTTCCTAAGATTATCAAATACATTTAAAATTTCTCAAGAATGAAGAAGAAAAATTACCTCTTCGTTTTGGTTCACCAATCCAAGTTTTTTCGAAATAATCGAGTAAATCGTCGGTGTCATCGTCGAATTGATCGGCAATTAAGTCAAACGCAGTTGTAACTTCATCTACTGGAACAAAGGCAAGAGCAATTATTTTTTTTATATTTAAACGAAAAGACTCATCTTCTCTATATTTTGTTGCCAATCCTTTTTTTTTGAACTTGTCGCCATACCGCTTGTGAAAAATGAAAGAGACATCCTATAACAAACATTTTAATTATCTTTTCTTTTTTGTGAATAGACTAGAACGTACCTTTGTGTAAAACATTTGGTAACATCTCTTTGACTGATTTGATTGTACCAGTTTCGAAATCAGTCATAATTGATTCAGATTGAAAATTGTCTTGTTCAAATAATTTTTCGAAGAATTGATTGTAATCATCGCTGCTTTTACCAATTAACAATCCATAGACGAGAGGAATAATTGCATTCGTCATCATTGCATGTAATGTAAAAAGTTGATAATAATTATCCGGACATACCTACATCAAAGATAATTAGAAAAAAAAGATACACATTCAATTAATAGCTCACTTTAAATGTTCCATCAGCGAACCAATGTTTGTTTTGCTTCAGAATAGATAAATTATTTTTCGTTGTAAAGATAATTAAATGCTCGTCTTCGTGCAAGATGAAATCTTCATCACGATATGTCTTTCTTAATTTTTCTGGTAAATGACCATTGGCATCGACTGTTTCAGTAGTACGTTGTCGTCGAATTGTGAGCGTAAGTGCGTCACTTCTTGGAAGTTGACCAGCGGCACTTAGAGGATATGTTCGTAAGGCCGAATGAAGAATTGAACTGGATGGTTCATCTGTTGTCGCAGCACGAGCTTTAATTTCGTTCTTTAATTGGATAGCCGGAACACGATCAGATTGTGGAGCATGACCATGTGATGTTGGTTTAGAGAGAAATGCATCCATGAATAAATTGGTATGACAACTTGCTTAATTGATAAATGATTTTCATTTTAATCAATTGATTAATGATAGTCAAAGTAAATTTACCTTTACAATCACGATTCTGACATCGAAAAATCAATTTCGTCGTTGTGGTACGTTCTACAGTGTAGATGTAACTTTTGTGGAGGAGCATTGGTTTTCCTTTTTCAGAAAGGAGTTTCTGAATTTGAGACATTTTTTGGAAGTGTTGTGTACAGTAAACGTTCAAATTGAGAAATGAAATACATTTTCAACATCATCAATATATATTTTTTTATCCCCCGGTCACATAATTAAAAACATTGGATCAGTGTTATCGTTAGTCTAGATTATGTCGAGATTCATTAAACGATTTACAAAACTAATTATTTTTGGAAAAATTTAGCTCTATCATGACTACACGTGATTAACATGTTCTATTGATCCGTTCTTCCAATTAAAGTTATCATCTTCACCGCAATCTTTTCTTCAGTACATCGTTCACATTTTTTCATTTCTTTTTTTTTATTCGGATATGGTTACACAAAAAAATTAATTAAGAGCGAGGTCGAAATATTGATCGCAAGGATATTGTTCGCGATGAACAGAACGAAAGAAAATATTCTGCGACGAATTGATTGCGACGAATTGTCGTGCGACGAATTGTACTAGTGCCGAGAGATCCACAATCAGCAGGGAAAAATAAGTCGACTTTAATGACCTCCTCTACTTTTCTAAGACTTTGATGCTTTGATGATATCTGATCCAATGTAAAAGACCTTCGATTTTCCTAAAAAACAAAAGAAAATTAAGCAAATACTTTGAAATATATTTTAATGGACTCAGTTTCAGGTGTATGTAAGAGTGTGGTTTTATCTTGGTCCGCACCCAGCTTATATTTATAAATCCTTTCAAAAATTCTAGAAAGTTTCAGAGTGATCTATACATCATTATTATTTACGCGCCTTTTTCGTTACAATGAAAATGTATCTCATTTTCGTTGTCTTTCCCTCCCCTTACTTGTTTCATAGAAAACCATACAAGGATGGGGGTGGTGTGGGTGTGATGTACGGCTGCAACTGCTGGAGTGCAATGTGGTTGTGAGTGCACTGACAAAAAATGATATCATACTGAACTTAAAAAGGTTCCAAATTTTGTAACAAAATGGAAACCTTTTTAAAGTTTCGTAAAAATATGGTTTCGTACAAAAGCGTTTTTAACTTGCTTTAAAAATGGTTTTGTAGTAAAAAACTCCACCGGTATTTCAATGAAACACCATTGACTTTATTTCTGTATCACTATACCCATCGAAACTGATAGACTACCTAACCTAATACCTAAACATATTATCCGTATCTATGTCTAACACAGTGACTCATATCTATCTCCTTATTCTAACCTCTTAATCTATATCTAAACCTTTAGTTTAACCATTAATCTATATCTTAACCCCTATTCGAACTCTTAATCTATATCTAAGTCCTTACCCTATATCTATCCTCTTATTCGAATCCTGAACTTATCCCTAAGGAAAACCGTCAAATATCATATTTGGTTTAGTTTTTCTTGTTTGATACTATTTTCGTCTCATGAGAGACACAATCAAAACATAAGAAAGTTGCTTTGGACGTTGATTCTATTCATTCCAGCCAGAGATGGAACCGGTACCGGTAATCGGCCGGTCCGGTCCGGTCCAGTACCGGTCTGGATTTTTATCGGCCGGTCTAAACCGGTCTGACCGGTCCAAACTGGCCCAAATCGGTCCAAACCGGTCTAAACAGGTCTGACCGGTCGAAATCGCCTTATATTGGCCTATATTTTTCACTTTCTGCTCTATGATGGTAATCATATGAAAATATAACTGGCACCAAGACTAGTTCCACTGATCATACAAGAATTTATTTAAAAAACAGTTTTCAGAATGTCCATAAGTGAGACTATTGTTATCAATGGTGTAACATAATGCCAGTATGCGTGAAAGTACGAAAGTAGCCCGCAAGAGAGTTCAATATGAAACAAGATTTCATTTCAAGCCTCAACATGTTGTGGGTAAATCGATATTTTGTCGGTAGGTTGGATATTCACTTGTAAACTGACGTATCATCAGCATCCTGTTTAGTACCGGTAGACCGGTCAGATCAACTTTTTCCGATAAATCGGTTTCCGCCGGTAAACCAGTAGACCAGCCGGTCCGGTCCGGTCTGATTGCCTTGGACCGGTACCGGTACCGGTCTGAAAAAAACGAAATCGGTTCCATCTCTGACGTATCGAACAACAGCATCACGATGCAATATTATGATATTTCTGAATCATCAGCTAAGTTTGTAACTTGTGAGAGATACATTAAAAAAACCTTTCACTGTAATAATCGATGTATTATTGGTAAGCCAGTGTTACTGATATAGACTGATTCTATCGGTAGACCGGTTTTTGCCGGTTCGGTCCGGTCTGATCTGGTTGGACCGGTACCGGTACCGGTCTGAAAAAAAGTAGACCGGTTCCATCTATGATTCCAGCGATATTTGTATGAAATTGTGTTGAATTTTTTATTTTAGTTCTCTTCATTTTACATTGGCATTAGAATGTCGACGAACTCATGCTTATTAATGCTATTATTGTCTCTTTTGCTTGTACTGAATTCTACATGCCTGACGAGTCCACGACGATGTCCCGCTAACTGTAAAATTTACGACATGAAGCGTAGTTCACTGAATCGTCTTTCTCAAGAATGTCCGGCTACTGAAATGTTTGTTAAATGTTCGACAAGTCTCTGGCTCAATGTAAATGGTACTCTGCATGTAGGCTTTGATGGTGATTCGTCGGAGAAAGCAATCAACGAGAGCTTAGTCGCGAATGAGACTGGTCAATTTTTCTATCATCACACACAAGTCACATTCTATGCGAATGTTACAGAGATACATGTCTATAGTCGCAATTCATGTTTCGACCGAGATGACTGTTCTCGCGAGTTTGCACAAAAAATGGGCGATCAGTTGCTCGGCTATCAGTATGCTAAATTCGGTGAAGACTTGCGACCTCTTGTCTATGATCCCCAAGTTAGAAGCGAATTCGAATTTTCTACAAAGAATCTAACTTGTCTGGTCGATAATAATGCTACAATTGCTCCGTGCAATTCTAGTTGTTACTATATATTAGGATTCTCTAAAGAGCAATATAGATGTTGGCCAAGTACGTTGGTAGGTCTTCATGCTTACACTGAAAAAGCTCTGCCAGCACCCATCAATACAACGATTTCATTTGACTACAGTTGTAATACGCACACAACGATCTGCAACGGACCAGATGTAAATTATAATATTAAAATGATTGTCAACGATTTTTTTCTGAATCCACCTTATACTTCGTCAAGTGGGAACTGTAATACATACCAACTTGTTTTTCCAATGTTGATCATATTCATTTTTTGTCTGGTTTGTAAATTTTTTAATCCTCCTCAAATCGGATGATATGTTTGCACTGTTAAGCAAAATAAATGGCAACATAACGTTCTCATAAAGCCTTATCACTACTTTTACATATTCTTTTCGATTTCAAGTTGATTTTTGCAATAACTCAATATGAAAAAGTCATATGTCAGAGTGGGAAATAGAGAGAACAAAGAAAAAAAACCACATGTCTGAAACTATAGGCTATTGTTCAATATTAATGTAACTTTCATTGTTTATTGTAGATAAAACATCATGATGTCGCAATTGACAACTCTTTTTTATCTGGCAGTGATATTGAATTCCATTTGGACAGTAATCACACAAGATGGTGAGTCTAAAGTCTAAAAATGCGTTGTTAAAACAATGAGGCTTTTTAGAATCGGATTTTAATCATTTGCCACTATTAAATCGCCCGATGAAGTCAGCTGTTGATACACCACTGTTAAGAGTGAGTCACCTGTATCCGGGAGCAAAAGTAATAGACTTTGGAGGAAATGCAATTGGATTGAATCAAAATGAAGGTGAAGCACTCTACTTTCGTGATGAACCGTACCACATGCAACTGGGAGCAAAGCAAACCAATGGTCAGTTCATGATGATGGAAGGAACTCTAATGCCAGGAGAAGGTATAATCTTCAAATCCATAGATTCATACTACTCTTCATTTTATAAAAAGGCACACAATTGCATCTGCATCAATTCGAAGATGAAGTGTTCTACGTGCTCGAGGGTGAAATCCAGTTTTATATATACAACAAAACTTTGACAATGTCGCAGGGTTCTTGCGTTTATGCTCCGCGCTTGATCAACCACGCATGGCGCAATCCGAATACAACAAACAGCAAGCCGGCTCGTCTCCAGTTCTCTTTTACACCGGGAGGCATTGAAGGATATTTCCAACAAGCTTCCAGATTGGTCAAACACATGTACCCTTACACCGAGTTCTTAAATAAAATTGCTCGAGAGTGGGGTGTCTTGAACCTCGGAGAGGCCAACTGGGATCAAAACAATTGAACATAGGTCTTATTTTCAGTATACCATTGTTGGAGAATATTCGAGTTTTTTTTATGAAGACACACAAATGTGAATTGTTTTTTTTATGATTAATATCTCTTCACTCAAATAAATAATTATCCTACTAATAAAGTAGCCAAAATAAAATGCACTTCGCTAGGTTTTGAGTAACCACAAAATACACACAGCTAACGACGTTTGAAACGGGGAAAATGTGTTTTTTTCTGTATCTCTATGTCTTCGTATCAGACCTCTTCTGAACTGCCGTAAAAAAAGACGTTTCGTACGAGAATTTTTCTGCAAAACCCTTTTACCAAATCGAAAACAAGGTTCCATACTAGTGATTCATTGTGATCCTTACATGCATACAATCCGTCTTATCTATTTACACATACATCTTTATTTCAATACTTATCGTTTGCGTATACCCAATCACTTTTAACTATCTTGAGGGTGTGGGCGAGTGTGTGGATATGGGTGTGTGGGTGCAAAGAAGTGTTACTCTTACGTTCCTATAAATGGTGGGCCAGAAGTCGTGACTGGATTTGCACAAAAAAACTGTTTTTCGTGAAACATGTGTTTGTTAATTTGTCTCTATGGAGAAAATATGCAGTAAAAGACGCTCTACAAAATTACTATTGGTTGACTCCGCCTGCTCATCTAGTAAGAAAGTTATAGACTTATAAATGTGCGCCACAAAAAGAAAAAATTCACAGTGAACTCAGTCTCTGCATTGGCGCTTTAACTCCTGTTCCTTAGGTCCCTAGAACAAATTCTTTTATCAATAGAAGGGTGTGGGTGTGGGTGTGGGTGTGGGTGTGGGTGTGGGTGTGGGTGTGGGTGTGGGTGTGGGTGTGGGGGTGGGTGTGGGGGCGGGGCCGGGTGGGGGGGCGGGCGCGCAGCGGGGCGCGGGGGCGCGCGC